GACAGCTCACCTGATGTTTCTTTCTTTTCAGATTTATCCCATTGGAATGAATAATTATTCAAAGTGTGTATACATTTTTTGAGATACCCTGTGTATGTGTGTGTGTGTGTGTGTATACATATATAGTGAAATTTTACAGAACATTTTGATGCGTTACACAAATAATTTAAGAGTGTGTGTGTATGTAGCAATGAAACTGAAAATATATTTTATAAAGTTTCTCTATTGCTTACTTATAGCCCCCTGGCAGATGGATTTTGGTGGCTACAGCAGCCTCCATTGCTTAGTTGTACAGAGGGCTGAATGCTCTAGGGAGGTGAGGGAGGCAATTCGTGTTTCTGTGGGTGAAGTCCGGGGGGAAGTAGACCAAGGCTGGTAGGGTTAGGCCAGGACCGGGATTTGCATGGAAGGGCTGGGAAGGAGAGGACTCCAAATTGTGGCCAGGCCAGGAGGAGACTGGATAAGGAGACTGATTGGGGTGTTTTGTGGAGAAAAGTTATATGAGGCTAACTCCTCTTGTTCAGTACATTTAAAGTATAATATTACAGAATTAATGATGTACCCGTTGTGATTTGCTTTCTTATGGAGGCAAGCAGGTTGGCACATGTTCCAGAGTCCTGTGTGACTGAGGGCACGCGGACATCTAGGTTTCACTTACAGGTGAAATGAATGTGAACGGCAGCAGCAGATTGCTTTGGTGACTTTTGGAGTTCCTATGGCATTTTGTAGCACTCTTGAGACACTTTCCCATATTATCTTGCTATTGTGGAGGGTGTGTGTTATTTATGTGAGTCTGTAGGGCAAAGGACACTGTAGTTGGAGTCAGAAGACCTGGATTCAAGTTCTGCTTCTGCCACTGACTACCTGGAACCCCTTTTAGTTTCCCAGAGGAGAGCGCCTTGTCTGTCCTATGGAGATAATGACTCCTGCCCTACTCAGTTGGCCCAGGGAATCAATTTACATAAGTGCTTTGTAATGTCTACAAGTTTTATAGACATGCGTTCTTATTATAGTTATTAGTAACTAGAGGCCCAACGCACAAAATTTGTGCAAGGTGCTCGGCCCTCACAGCCCCAGCTTCATCCGGAAGGTCGTCTGGATGGTTGTTCTGCTGTTCGGCTGTCCGGTCTAATTAGCATATTATGCTTTTACTGTTATAGATTATTATTTGGTGTTATGGGCTGAATTGTCTCCCCCGCTCCCCCCCACCCCCCGCCATCCCAACAAGATATGTCGAAGTCCTAATGCCTCAGAATGTGACGTTCTTTGGAAATAGGGTTGTTGCAGATACTATTAGTTAAGATAAGGTCATACTGGAGTAGCATGGGCCCATAATGCAAAATGACCAATGTTCTTAAAAGAATGGCCATGTGAAGACAGGGACCCACGGGAAGAACACTATGTGAAGACAGAGGCAGAGGTTGGAGCGATGCATCCACACGCCAAGGAATGCCAGGGGTTGCCTGCTGTCACCAGAAGCCAGGGCAGAGGCTGGATCAGACTCCCCCTAGGTCCTCCAGAAGGAACCAACCCTGCTGATACCTTGTTGGGCTTCTAGCCTCCAGAATGGTAAGGCGATAAGTTTCCGTTGTTTTAAGCCACCCAGGTGTGGCACTGTGTTTAGGCAGCCCTAGGAAACGAATACAGATGGTACACGATTTGAGGGGAGTTCCGGAGGAAATATAAGGAATGTATTATTGCACTCTCTTTTTTCTATATAGTGTGTCTAGTCAATATATCACTGTCATAAACACTATTTCTTTGTATCCCCACAACTAACCTGTGGCATAAGTGAAAGTTTTTCAATTTAGGTAAAAACCAAGGCTTAGAAATGATCAGTAACTCAACTAGGAAACACTGTAACCTGCCTCTTTGACTCTCCTATATCACAGCAGCTTTGTTTAGACCAATTAGTAGATCTTCCTTTTATATTTGCACTTTTCTCAGATATAAGAGGTATTTATTACTCTGATTTTTAATATGTAACTTGCTCCCAGCATTGTTTAACTTTCACCCTCTGCTTGGCCCACATGTCTCATCGGAGTTCTAAGGATCCTCTCTGCTCTAGGGAACTGAGGCTGGCCGCAGCCTGACACGGCGGAGGTCTCACATTGAGCAGAAGCTCTTAGCTGTGGCAAGGTCCAGAGAGGCTCCTGGGTCGGGGAGACTGAGCTTCACCTGGGCAGCACCTGCCCTGACTGATTTGGGCGAAGGTGTTGTGAGTAATGGCTTGTTCCTGCAGCCATGCCCTCCCATATCCAGAGCCTTGCCCTTCACAGATGGGGTCAGCGAGGAGATGCGAGAGAGAGAAGAAGAAAGAACAGCAGTGTGGCTAATATCAGTGCCTTTGAGGTGCAGCTAAAATGCTCTGAGACTAGGCTGCCTATACCCTGCGGAGGGGCACCCATGGAGGAAGATCAGAAATCCATGACTGCATCACGTCTCTGCTGCAAAGGAGGGGTTGGAGGTGACATGTCCCCCAGTGTGTGTGTAGCTCATAGGGACTGTGGGTAGAGGAGTGATTAAGAAAATAAGTTTTGAAGTAACATAGACTGATTTCTGGGTTATCATCTTGGTTCTATCATATCATTGTGTGACCTTGGGCACATATTTGTCTCCTCTGAACCCCAGTGTCTTTCTTCATCTTTAAAAGAGTAGCATTACTCACCTCCTAGGGCTATTGTCAGGATTAAATAAGATGATTAACCCTGAGTAAGAGCTATAACAATATATGTGGTCAGTGGGAAAGGGTCCACCAAGTAATAATAAACTAACAACCCCAGTAAGAGCTATAACAATATATGTGGTCAGTGGGGCCATGGAACTATTAAGTGGGAGAGGGTCCACCAAGTAATAATATGCTAACAACCCAAAGTGCCCCATGTATTCCTTTCTTCATAAACTGTGTAGGCTATTTTGAGCTTTCTCACGTGGGAGCTAATTGCTCTCAAAGAAGGATATGATATTGCGAAACGAAACCGGAAAGATCTTGCCCATTTGACTCACTGATAGTTTTATGTATCTAAATTTTAAATGCCATTCTTTGGATGTCAGCCAGGCTTCCATCTTCCCAAAACGTACTACTGAGGGAATACCTGAGGTACATATTGGCGAAAGCCCAGTGCAGACAGCTCCTCATTACAAAGCAATTTCATTTCCCTGATCAAGTTAGCATCATAGTTCAAGTTTATACTTCTTTTAATTCCAGCCCTCTTCGCCTCATTGATGTTTCTGCCACACTACAGGAATGTTCCTTCCTTAGACACTTTGCCCTTCCTTAAGATGTCCACATTGCCAACTTCCTCATCTGGTCCCTACTCAAATGTCAACTTCTCAATGAGGCCTATCCTTGTCAGACTTTGTACAATGTGTGTCCCTTCTTCCTGCTGGAACAGAAGCTCCATGAGGGCAGGGATCTTTGTCTCTTTTGTTCACTGATGGCTCTCCAAGTGCCCAGCATAGTGCCTGGCACTTAGTAGATACTCAATAAATATTTGTTAAATGAATAAATGGTGATAACCAATTTTTGAAGACCAAAGAATCTTAGGGATGGAAGAGACCTTATAAATTATTTGATTTAATAGTAAGAAAATTTTTAAGGAGTGTCGATTAAAGAAAATTAAAAAAAAATTATGGGTAGAATTTGTTTTCCATTTAAAATTAAATCCCATGGGAAAATAATGTATGTTCTTAAATCTTAGACATTTACTTTACTACATAAAATAATATTCATGAGAAATTGTAGGCAGAGTTGAGAAACAGAAAGTAGAGGCATCTTTCTAATCCACATTCTGGAAATGAAATCTGGGTCTTATCTTGAATAAAAAACCCCTGGGGCTCAGGCTGCTCATTATCCACCACTTAAAACCTCACTCCATTTTATAGAGGGAGCAGAGATTGCCCAGAAAAGAGAAGACCTTTTACTTTTCTCAAGGTCACCTGTTGTTTGGTGTATATTTTTAGAGCCAGAATTATTTAAAAGCTGCAGTGGGCCCTAGAGAACTTCTCATCTAACCTCTTCATTTGGCAAATGAAAGTGCCAAAGCCCAGAGACATTGTGGAACTGACTGAGGTCACACAAAAAATCTCAGAAAGCCCGATACTAAATCCCAAGTTCTCTGCAAACATTAACTGGTGTATAAGAATAAATCCTCCTCTGACCAATGGAATGGAAAACAACAAAATTAATAGGCATTGCCTGTTGTGATCTCACTTTTTCAAACTGGAATTCTAGCATCTTTTGGACATTGCACGTGTATCAATATCACGTTATGTTTCCACGTCCCCAGAGTTGTCCCTCTTCTGTAGGCCTCCCCTGGATGAGCTCCAGGTGAGGCACTAAACAGCTTAATCAAAAATTTCTGATGATTAATTTAATATATTTCAAACTTTTCTGACTTTGGATCATGAAATGTTAAAAGATTTATTTGGTTTATTTGTAAAGTCATAGTGAACTATGTCAGAACTTGTAGTAGTATGTCACTTATTGTGTATGCTGTATCTATCTATCTATCTATCTATCTATCTATCTATCTATCTATCTATCTATAAAAGCCTAATATGCAAAGTGTCCCTTTGGGAGTTCGACCGGGAGTTTGATCGCTCGCTATGACGTGCACTGACCATTAGGGGGTGGCGCGGAATGAAGGAAGGCCCGGGACAGCAGCTGGCAGCCAGTGAAGGAAGGCCCTGGCTGGCAGCTGGCAGCTGCTAGGGACCCTACCTATGCACAAATTTCGTGCACTGGGCCTCTAGTTTCATTCATAAATATATGGGAACCTATGCAGGTTATTAAAGAGCAGACAGTAAAATCAGCTTGCTCTGTCAATCAGAAAGGAATAGGATAGAAAGGCTTGTCTTTCTCAGATTGTTTAATGTAGTCTCTTTCAAAAGCAGAGAGTAGTTTGGATGGACTAAAGATCTTTTTCAACCCCTTTAGTCTCTAACTGAATCATTAAATACAGTAAGTAGTTAAAACTATTTATAATTTACAGACTTACTTGTCAACATATTCAACTAGATCTGTAGAGTTCTTGGTTGACATTTTGACTGGAGATAATCTTACCTAAAACAAAGGTCATGGCTTTAAAATGTACCATCGGGGAAATTCCTATATATCTTATCCTTACATAAATTTTTAAATTTTAAACAAAACAAAAACTATAGATCATAGACCATCAGCCCAGTTAATCTTGCACAGGCCCCTTTTGTATTGCTGGAGACTAAAACTAAAGTCAAGTTCTGGGAAGACATCAGGGAGCTGCATTTCACAGATTTGGTATCATAGGAAAAACTTTTGGGAAAGGTCAAAGTCATAGATTATTCTTAGATCAATTTTAAATGAAATATCCTGTGATTATTGGCTGCATTACTAAAGAAGTCCTTACAGAGTGAATTATTCCCGACATGCTGAATTCCAAGGGAAATCAGCTAATTTTCTAAAAAAAAAAGAAAAGAAAAAAAAGCCCATACCAGAAAACTAGTCTATCAAGGTAGTTTTGTTTTCTAATAAAGCTGGGTGCCAGTTTGTTATAGCCAATGAGAAATAAAAGTCAGAGCACAGTTGCCCAGCCAATGTGGCTCAGTAGTTGAGCGTTGATCTAGGAACCAGGTGGTCACAGTTCGAGTCCCAGTCAGGGAACATGCCTGGGGTTGCAGGGTTTATCTCCAGTGTGGGGCGTGCAGGAGGCAGCTGATCAATGATTCTCTCTCATCATTGATGTTTCTCTCTGTCTCTCCCTTTCCTTTCCTCTCTCTGAAATCAAAATATATATTTTAAAAAGTCAGAGCACAGTTATGTACATAACTTACTAGTACTAAACATAGTTGACCATATGAATGCTTATCTATTTTTAAAAAATGGCATCTCTAGAAAGTTTTATTTGCATTAAAGTTCATAATTTTGCAGCATTTGTTGGAAGAAAGAGGATCAAAATGTACTTACTGTGTTTGCATATGCTATGAAACAAAATTCAACTCTAATGCTCTTTTATTTTAAGTTTAAGAACAGGACACATTGTTATCTTCATTTTAATAACCTGTCACTGAACTAGATTCAATAGGAGAGAAGAGTGGAATTCCTTCTCATTTTAAAACTTAAACAAGATATGTCCCTAGGATATTTTTTCTTGCTTTATGTTATTGTATACTGCGATGTTGAGCAGAATATGTTGAGACCCACATACAGAAATCATTCGTTTTGCAAATGCTTAAGGAATTACCACTTCTTCTTAATTTAAGGCCTAAGAAATGTAATTGGAAATCTAGCTTCTCCAGTGAAACTAAACATACATACATACATACATACATACATACGTACGTACATACATACATAAATAAATAAAAGTCAATTACTGCCCTGACCGGTTTGGCTTGATGTTTCTCTCTCATCGATGTTTCTAACTGTCCCTCTCCCTTCCTCTCTGTGGAAAATCAATAAAATTTATATTTTAAAAAAAAAAGTCAATTACCAATGAAGCTAACAACAGAAAGGCTCTCTTGGCCGGGCTGGGCCGGGCCGGGCCTGGCAAGCAGAACAGGCTGGAGCCGCCACGGGCTTTAGACCCTCTCCCCATTGCTGAGTGGCATCTGCTGCTCTGTTTTTTTCTGGGCCCCGGTCCATGTTGTGAAAACCACCCTCACTCCCTAGAGACCACGACTGGCTTGCTCTCGCTCTTATTCTCACCGCAGTTTTCTGCTGGAACAGTGCTGGCCTGGGTTCCTCACTAACTAATGCCAGCTGTTTCCTCCTCCCCTCTCCGCTGCTGCCCCTGGCCTGCAGGGGTCTGTGGTATTTCCTCAGCAACTGGCTGGTCCCTATAAGCGTGGCACCTAGTAGCCCTTTGTAAGTGTTTGTGGAATGAGGGAGTAATGATGACTATGTTGTCCGAGGACACTAAATTACTGGGTTGTTGTCCTTTTTCCTTCTCAAGTGAAACAATTGGCTGCATATGTTTTATTTTTATTTTATTAATTTAAGTCTTATTTTGAAAACCATAAGTAGCATCCTCTTAACACACCTACAAGTCATAAACTTTTAAACAAATGTTAAGGAGTAAAATTTTAAGCATATAGAAAAATGAAAGATGCAGAAAAAAATGTTTTCACTTATAATTCTGCTTTGAGCAAAAGTCATTAACATTATGGCATATATATTTCCTCTTTATTTCTGTGCAACTTTTCATATATATATGACATAGTAAATTTAATAACTTTGCTAATTGCATATAGAAGTTTCTATTTCAGCCTGTTTCATCCCTATTCCTACAAGCAAGAATGTAATTACATAAAAATTCTCACAAACAACTTGATGCTTATTATGGGAATGTTTACATGCATCAGTTTTCACCTGTTTCAGAATAATACTTGAAAACGTTGTTGTTCTTTATGGTTTAGTTGCCTATAAAATACGTTCACATATGTCATGTGATTTTATCACAAGAATAACAGTTATTTTAAGTAACTGAAATCCTTTATTACAGAGAGAATATAAGATGAATATTTTCATAGGTGATGAATCTGAGGATCAGAAGTAATGGATTTATTCAAGATCATATGGGTAATGATAATAATTATGTTACAGCTATTGACTGAGTCCTTCCTACATGCTAAGCTCTTTACCATAGTGGCCCATTCAAACCCCACTTCTTTGAATGACAGGCTTAATCAGCTCGCTTCACAGAAAAAGAAACAAAGAGGTTAAGTCATTACTTAAAGTCACACAGCAAGTGTGTGGTACAGCCACCAGATACAAAATATTAGTGCTTGATATTGTGCTAGCTTTCCAGTGCTCTTTCCATCACAAGAAGCTGCACCTGCTGGTCAGGTGTCATGGGAATTAAAAAGCAAAGTCTGAAAACACTTCCTTTTTTGAGTGTTCATTTTCATTAATGGGGAAGCTATGACAAGTACCAGTAAAAGAAACATTCCATTTAACTGATCTCTTTTTCATGTTACAGATACCATCTATACCTTGACTTTATCATAGTTTCTTTTGCATCTTACTAAAAAATAATCAATTTTGTTAATTTTTAGCATACATAGTAAATGTCAGTCCAATGAATGTATTCGAAAGTTGAGCCCCTTTTGCTTTTTCAGAGTGTGTTGCCATTAGTCACTTTGTCAAAGCAGAGAAAAACAAACCCAACAGGAAATGTGGGTAGAGTGAAAATAAAAACTTTTCCAGGATTCCTTAGAAGTCTCTAAGCAATGCTGAGCTTTAAAGAAGCTGAACAAAATATTCTGTCTTTAATAAGAATAGCTAAAAGTACTTACTTTGTTTTCCTGGTCACTGGCCGAGCCAGGCAAGGGGCCATCAGGTTCATCTAGCTGTTCCTCGGCAGTCGGGGAGACACTTTTGTTTATATCTGTATCTAGGCAACCAGAATTCTGAATCAGATCAGGAACTATGGCACATGAATTTCTGCAGTGGTGATTTTTTAAAAATTCTATTATTGTACATATGGCAATGGTTAAAGGGAGCCTTTCAATTTGGTTTATACTCCCTTCTTCCCTGCTTACCTACCCCATTCGCCCCATCCCAAGACCCTCCAATCACACCTATAATCAGCTAGAAGAGCTTATCTCAGATATTTCCATTATACATTTAGAAAACTTGGCTGAAATGCACTCTTTTAGATCAAACTGTTCTAAAATAATATGGAATGATTTCTCACCCTATTGTGCCCAAACCATCCAATGGTTTTCTTTGGCATTTATTACCTTGATTATGTATAACATGAACTATAAGTCAGATAGTAAAGTATGAGAAATTCAGAGACCTTGAGTAATCCATGAGATAAATACTTGAACTCATGGTGCTTGATTTCCTGGCTTTATTTTTTTATTGATTTGATACTTTGAGACTTTAAAAAATTTTCTTTCTTTGAAAGCCAGAGTACTAAGGAATATTGATTGAATCCTGACTAAAGTCTTTCTATTTCTGGAGTATTTTCCAGGGTGGCTCAGCAGCATTGTGACTGCAGAAAGAATCTGTGATGTCAATGGGGTTGGTCCTCACACTTAAAGTCCGTAAATTTCTGAAAGTTAGGAACTTGAAGGGTCTTCCTTAATGCTCATTGTCATAAAAATCACTGGGTCCTTCACTTCTTTGTCTCATTGGGTGGGATGTGGCCATTTAAAAACTGTTATGTCATACTCTCCTTCTGATTTCACCTTCACAGTTTAGTAAGAGAATAGTTTCCATCAAAGTAGACAAAGAAAATCGGTAGTTACAAAATAGTCAGGGGGTGTAAGTTCAGCATAAGGAATGGTCAATAATGTAATAATTAGGTATGATGCCAAGTGGGTACTTGAATTATCAGGGGAGGGGGAATCACTTTGTAAATTATATATTATCTAACCACTATGTACACCTGAAACTAATATAAAACACTTTGAATATCCACTGTAACTGAAAAATAAAACAAAATAATGAACTAGAGGGGTTAAAGAAAAAAAAAGTAGACAAAGAAAATGAATTGCTACAGTACTTCCTAATCTTCCTCTAGTATGCTAGTTAAGGAAGTTAACACTTCTAGGCCACTAGGGGAGTTTCTAAAAGAATGCAGGAAAGACAGGTGAGCTGGGACAGAGCTTTAAATAAATTAAACTGTTGAAGGGCATTGTAGAGGAAATTTTGTTCAGTTATTTGACCAAAAAAAGATTTGAATTATTTCAGCTCTGAAATATTTTCTTTAAATGATATTATTGTCTGAGTTACTTTTCAAATTATGGTGCTCTGTTTGGCTTGCTCTGAGACTATATGGTGTTTAGTATACGGAATTACAAACTTTTATTCCACAGGTAAATACCACCCATAGGTTTTGGCTTCCATGGTATGTCTTCGAGTGTTAAACTAGGCCCTTAAAACTTAAGAAACACAGTATTTAATGATTCTTGAAGCAGTCCAAAAGGCTCATTTAATCATCCTAATAATAATTTAATCAAGTGTCAAGGGAGACTGACACACTTGTGACAGAGAACAGGTGGCCATGGATACCAAGAGAGTGGGACCTTGACTCCTGGTATTTACTTTGGGCAAGATTACCTTTTTTTTTTTTAAAATATATTTTATTGATTTTTTACAGAGAGGAAGAGAGAGAGATAGTTAGAAACATCGATGAGAGAGAAACATCAATCAGCTGCCTCCTGCACATCCCCCACTGGGGATGTGCCCACAACCCAGGTACATGCCCTTGACCGGAATCGAACCCGGGACCTTTCAGTCCGCAGGCCGACGCTCTATCCACTGAGCCAAACCGGTTTCGGCAAGATTACCTCTTCAAGTTTCAGTTTTCTCATCTGTAAGGTGAGGTAATAACAGTGATCTCATAAGGTGGTTGATAGGATTCAGTGCAATAATACACGTAAAATTCTCAGCTGAGTACCAGGCCAGGAATCCACTAAGCTGAATCTATTACTAGTGATTATTTCACAAGGTGGCAATTATCCAGGAAATAGATACAAAGTCTGTGTGAGAAAAGAAAAACTGGATTTGACCTTGCTGAACCACTTTCCTTATTTCAGCTTCTAATCCATATGATTTGACTAGGAAAATGGATCCAAATGAAATGAGTCTAGCCTGTTTGTCCTTTAAATGGTTGCTTAGTTTTTAACAGAACAGTGCACATAATATATACCAGTATGTACCTAAGAGTGGGGGTCCTAATCTTATAGGATTGAGGATTGCTGTCCTTATAAGAAGAAAAAGCAATCTTAATCTCTCTCCTCTCAAAAAAAAAATCTTAATCTCTCTCTCTCTCTCTCTCTCTCTCTCTCTCTCACACACACACACACACACACTGAAGAAAGTGTGAGGACACAGTAAGATGATAGTTGTCTATAAGCCAGAAGGAGGACTCTCACCATTAAATTCCCATCTGCTGGAATGTACATGTTAAAATTCTTTCTGGAAGTCATTGATCTCCAAAGATCATTTCTAATCCAGGCTTCCCAAGAGTACATGTATGTATGTGTGTGTGTGTGTATTTGTATATATATATATAAATACACACACACATACATACATATATACATATATATATATATATTTTCATATTCTAAGGCACAAAAACCAATAATGTTTAATTTTGATTTTAAACACATTATATTTTATATAGACATGAAGGATTCATCGTGAGGTGGTGTACAGTGAAGGGGTTGGTTAGTGTTGAAGGTCAACCAAGATAGAACTGCTGTGGGGTGTTGTACACTACACAACCCTATGGGGCACCATTCACACAATAACACTAGATTTTCACATTTGTTTCAACAATTTTTCAGGAATATATCAAGAAAATATCTTATTCTAATAAAGTAGGTATATCAGGACAAGTTTTTGACAAGTGGAAGAAGGGGCACCCATTTCTAACTCACGAAAAGTGTGTATAGGGGCCAGGGGCAGCCCCCTCTTTAATTTCCTTTTCTTTCTCTTTTCCTTTTGATGTCCCTTCCCACCTGTTGCTCCAAATGGCTTTAGGCCATTCTTTCTGGAAAGACCTCATTTCGACCTGGGAACGCCATAGGGCCTCACACCTTTTTGTGCTATCCTAATTATTTCCAAGTGAGCTTGATATGTATAGCAATTGACATTTTAGAAGATATCCCTCATGTTCCACCTCATGATTTTTCTGAGGAAGGCACTGCAGATGTAAATATCCTGACTTTACAGATAAAAATACAAGAAGATGCAGAGAAGTTAAGGGACTCGCATAAGTAAATGGTGAAAATCTGACCAGATCCCAAGTCTCCCGATCCTCTTTGTGCAACTTCCTCCCAGGGATGCATCATAATGAATTGTGCTAAGGTGCCAGTGTTTGACTTCCATTCGAAAGGGGTGCTCACTGCTCAGTGGGCCCCTAATGCTCCCTAGCACTTACATTTCATTCCCTGGGTCCACCACTCTCCTCCTCTCCTAGCAGACTCTGCTACTTTTCCTCTGACCTCAAATTCCCGTCAGCTCCTCTCATTATCATCATCACTCACAGCTGATGACCTTTCTTTTCTATTTCACCAAGAAAACAGAAGTAATTGGAAGGGAGTTCCTACATCTGTGGATCTATATGAATTTGTGTCCATACATTTTGCATCTTCTCCTGTTTCAGAAGATGAACCATCTTTGCTCCTCGTTCAGGCCATCCCAGTTGTCCTTAGGTCCCACTCCCTCTTACCTAATTAGGGACCCCACTGCCTCTTCACCACATTATCCCCATCACCATAATACATACCTTTCCCCCTTCTACCCACCTTAAGGCAGATAACAACCTTCTTTTGATCCTATATACCCTTCAGCTACCACTCACTTTTTTCCTTTTCTGCGCAGGAAAACTTCCCAAGGGTGTTGTTTGCTCTTCCCAATTTATCCCTTTGCTATAGTCTGAATTGTGTCCCTCCCCAAATCCATACGTTGAAGCCCTAACCTGCAATGTGACTGTATTTGGAGATAGGATCTTTAGGAGGCAATTAAGGTTAGGTGAGATTTTAAGAGTGGGGGTCCTAATCTTATAGGATTGAGGATTGCTGTCCTTATAAGAAGAAAAAGTAATCTTAATCTCTCTCTCTCTCTCTCTCTCTCTCTCTCTCACACACACACACACACACACTGAAGAAAGTGTGAGGACACAGTAAGATGATAGTTGTCTATAAGCCAGAAGGAGGACTCTCACCAGGAACTGAATCTGTTGGCACCTTGATCTTGGACTTCCCACCTCCAGAACTGTGAGAATACATTTCTGTTGTTTAAGCTACACAGTCTATGGTATTTTTGTTAGAGCAGCCTGAGCTGACTAAAATAGTCTCGAAGCACTAAAATCAGGCTTTCAGTCTCGCTCCTTTCACTCAGACTGCTCTTGGCAAGGTCCCCTGTGACCTCTCTGTTGCCAAATCCAGTGGTCAACTCTCAACCCCTATCTTACTGCCCCATCAGCAACACCTGACAGAGTTGAGAGCTGTCTTCTGCTTGAAACTTGTTATTCACTTGGCTCCCGGGGCAACATGTCTCCTGTGGCACTGCTGTTCCTTTTCACCGGTTTCTCATTCATCTCCCTGACCTCTGAGCAGGTGGTCCGTCATCTCAGTCAGCTTCAAGCTTTCTCAGGAGTCCTGTGTGCTGGGAACCCTCAGCCCCGGGCAAACTAGCAGAGCTGCTCACTCTACCTCTGAGTGTTTCAGTGTTTACCCTTTCCCCCAAAGCTTTTCTCCATACAGCCTTTCCCATAGCAATAACTGACAACAGCCCGCTCCAGTCGCTCAGGCCCCAGACCTTAGAGTTCTTCCTCATGCCTCTTGTGCTCTCTTACGCTACCTGTTGGCCAAACTTTCAAAATATATTCAGAGTGGGTCATCTCTCACCACCTTCTCTGCTGCCACACTGGTCCAAGCTACCATTATTTCTCCCTTGGATGATTGCAATAGCTTTTGAAAACTAGTCTTCTGTCAAACTTTCTCCCATCAGTTATTCTCAACAAAATAACCAGGGATGTTGTCAATGTGAATAAAACTCACCAGCTCAAAATTCTTCAACAATTTCCATCTTTTAAAGGACTAGAGGCCTGGTGCATGAAATTCATATACGGGGGGGAGGGGGGGCCCAGGGAGGGGGATCCCTCAGCCCAGCCTGCACCCTCTTGCAGTCCCGGAGCCCTCAGGAATGTCCGACTAATGACTTAGGCCTTCAGTTGGACATCCTTAGGGCTGCCGTGGAGGCAGGAGAGGCTCCCGCCAATACCGCTGCGCTTGCCTGCCGTAAGCCCGGCTTCTGGCTGAGTGGCACTCCCCCTGTGGGAGCACACTGACCACCAGGGGGAAGCTCCTGCATTGAGCGTCTGCCCCCTGGTG